CTATTCTATTCTATTCTATTCTATTCTATTCTATTCTATTCTATTCTATTCTATTCTATTCTATTCTATTCTATTCTACAAATGCAACATTATGGTTTATCTTAATTTCTTTGCTTGCAGAATTGTCTTGAACCAGAATTAAAATTAATTGCATAACACTTATTAAATGTATTTACCACAAGCACTGAAAGAGCACAAAGGCAGTTATTTTAATAGATTCCATTTGCAGTGTAAATGCCATACAAAGACAAACGTTATGAGGAAACTCAAACCTGACAGACCACCTGTCCATTTACCTCCTTCAGTTTGAGCTTCTCTGAACAAAGAGCACAGCACTCTGAGGATCATGAGCTGTGATTGTGCTTTTAACCAAGTACTCACTGCAGTGTGAGGAGTTCTAATAATCCATGTGGATGTCTGCACAACAGCTTTGATTAAGTTTTTTTTTTTTTGAACCGTTCACTGTTTGTGTATATGAGGTGGTGGCAGCACCAAAGAAGACTGTACTCTMGCCATTTTTCTTTATCATCGGTGCACCTCAGCTCTAAATCATGTCAGCTGCAGAAGTCCTCAGATATTTTATAGTTAGAGGGTATATTCTGTCTGCACCTGGACATTTACTTGGATAAAAAAAAGAGTGCAGAAATACAACACCRGGGCTGTTTACAAGAAGCAGAAAAKCAGACTCCACATCCTTTATATCATTTTCCGTATAAGATGATGCATATTTTCTATCAGTTGGTTATAGAGAGCGGCATTTTCTTTGCAGCCATCTGTTGGGTCAGGAGCACCATGAAGCAAAGAAACATAAATAGCTGAAAAAGAAGACATGCATTGCTTTGGTTGGACTGCTTTAAAACCTATAAAATGTTGCAAAATGCTGCTCAAGTAAAAGATAAAACTTCTCACCCTAAACACAAGCATCTCAAGCATCATTACTGGGAAGTTTATTTGTGGTAAGTTCTGGTGCTTTGTGCCAGAAAACTGGATTCAATTAAGAAGAATTTCATAACCCAACACCCTTTTTGTTCTGTTGCTTTTTTTCCTGAAGTAAATATTTCTAATTAGACAGAAACACAATTTAACTTTCTGAACTAATAAGATTTTGCAGCTTTTAACCCTCTGCACACTTTCTAAATCARATTCTAAAAATATCGGCACTGTTTAGTCAGCAAACATTTGAGCAACTGCTTCTATTAGACACAGTAAACTGAATGAAAAATGTGAAAGTGAAATAACAAATCCTTGTGCTGAGTTATAGTGTCAGCTGGTTCCAGCCCAACTTCTGAGAAAAACTGTGATCACACTTAAATTCCCAGTGAGGCTTTGCTAGCAGGGCATCACTGTAAAGACTGGAGCCCAGGGAGAATTAGCTTTAGATTACAAACCTAATCATGGGATTAAAGACTGTAATGTAGCATGGTCTGCTTCCCACTGATTTCAGTATTGGTGACATTTCCCCCCTTACTCACAAAATCCGTCACTCAACACCGTGAAGCTAAAACAACGAGAATTGGCTACAGTTAATTTCAAAGATAATAGGAAAAGTCAGAAAAATACGGATTAAATCCAGTCAAAGGATGAAATAATTAGGCACTGTGAACACTTACCTGTGAGGATTAGGTATGGATGGATAACTATTATCAGTTCTGACTGTTTAAATATTTATTTAAAAAAATGAATTTAAAATGCGATTACAAATGCACATGAAGCTTTCTCTGTGAAAAATTAAGACAAAAAGGGAAAAGGAAATAATTTAAAATGTTTCCAAATACKGGCTCTGATGTTTGTTAAATGCCTCGTCTCTTCAGAAACACAGAGTTTTCAAGCTGCTCATCCAAGTCAAACCTGAGCAACAGGAACTGGTTTGTTCAGAAATKTAATTTCTTGATACTTTTTCATCTTATTGAGTTTTTTTCTTTTTAACTGACTCATTTCCATCTCGTCATGTAATATATTTGCTACCCGGGGATAATTAAAGACATTGTGGACTGATAGAAATAGGAATTTCTCATTAGCTTGAGCAACATACAAAACATTATTTTCACATTATTATTAGCTGCATATTTCTGTGAATTTGCTTGAATTTCTTACACATAATCCAGGTTTATTTCTTTCACTTCTAATTGTTTGACACGGTGTTGTTTAACTATCAATGCATTTTGCTGTCTAATTAGCTTGTGTCTATTGCTTCAGTCAATTTTCTTTCTCATCTAAATCAAATTTATGAACTAAGACAGCAAATCCTTCTGGCTCCATTATTACAGTTTTGCTATCATAACATCATATGTTCAGGGAAATAAAATGAAAGCGACAGTTTGGAATGCTTGCGAACATTATAAAGTGAAAACAAAGTGATTTATGAGGCATGTAAGGGCTGTTTGTTGCACAGAGCAYAGCTTACAGCAAAGAAATAAATTCATCTGAGAATTGATGCCATGGTATTGATAAACGTCTGAATTCCAGTTTCTAAAATCTGGTTTAGGCGTGTGATATTACAATGTTTCTGCAATGTTTCTTCTATGTGGTGAAACAGTGATATTTCATGGCTTTTAGGCATTGGTTTAATAGCAAGCAGATGTACAATAAACGAGGTGTGAGGTTTAAAGATGACAGTAGAAAGATAAATCATCTTAATGTGTGAACGTAAGTTTGCACAAGTAGCTGTCTCCTTTAGAGTTTGTACAAGGTATTGCTGGGTTGCAGTCACATGACCTGGATGAAGCGCAGTATTCATATGGGGAACAGGAAATGATTTGCTCTGGTTCAAAACACAATGAAAAGTATCATAGTGAGTATGGTAATGCCCCAAATGAGCTGGCGAAGACAAGATACAGCGGGTAAAATAAGTATTGAATACGTCACCATTTTTCTCAGTAAATATATTACTAGAGGTGCTAATGACATGAAATTTTCACCAGATGTCGGTAACAACCCAAGTGATCCATACAAACAAAGAAATCAAACCATAAATGTCCAGAAATGAAGTTATTTGTAATAATGTGGAATGGCACAGTGAAAAAGAAAGGGGGGTGTAAAAAGGCATGGAAAGCCAAGACACCAGCTGAACTCTCTCAGTAATTAGA